TTTTTCAGCTCGATTCGGCGTGGTCAAAAACCTCTCCTCTCCCTCTCCTTCTCCCTCTTCCTCTTCCTCTCTTCCTAATTCCTTTTTTTCTCCTTTTTTTCAGCACGATTCGGCGTGGCCAAAACCTCTCCTCTCCCTCTTCCTCTCTCCACAACTAACCTCCCTCTCCCCCACCCTCTCACCTGTTCTCTTCCTCTCTTCCTAATTCCCTTTTTTTTACCTTTTTTCAGCACGATTCGGCGTGGGCCAAAACCTCTCCTCTCCCTCTTCCCACCTCCTCTCCTTCTCCTTTCTCCCTCTTCCCTCTCTTTTCTAATTCCTTTTTTTCCCTTTTTTCAGCACGTTTTCGGCGTGGGACAAAAAACCTCTCCTCTCCCTCTCCCCCACCCTCTCCTTCTCCCTCTTCATCTTCTTTTCTCCCGCAATTCCTTTTTTTCCCTTTTTTTCAGCACGTTTCGGTGTGGGCCCAAACCTCTCCTCTCCCTCTTTCTCTTCTTTTCTCCACAATTATTTTTTTTTTTCCTTTTTTTCAGCCTCTCTCCTAATTCCCTTTTTTTCCCTTTTTTCAGCACGTTTCGGGCGTGGGTCAAAACCTCTCTCTCTCCCTCTCCTTCTCCCTCTTTCTCTTCTTTTCTCCACAATTCATTTTTTTCCCGTTTTTCAGCCTCTTTTTTTCCCTTTTTTTTTTTTTTCAGCACGTTTCGGCGTGGGCCAAAACCTCTTCCTCTCCCTCTCCTTCTCCCTCTTTCTCTTCTTTCTCCACAATTAATTTTTTTCCGTTTTTTTCAGCCTCTCTTCCTAATTCCTTTTTTTTTCTTTTTTTTCAGGCACGTTTCGGCCGTGGGTCCAAAAACCTCTCCTCTCCCTCTCCTTCTCCCTCTTCATCTTCTTTTCTCCACAATTATTTTTTTTTTTCCTTTTTTTCAGCCACTCTTCCTAATTCCCATTTTTTCCCTTTTTTCAGCACGTTTCGGCGTGGGCCAAAACCTCTCCTCTCCCTCTCCTTCTCCCTCTTTCTCTTCTTTTCTCCACAATTAATTTTTTTCCCCTTTTTTCAGCCTCTCTTCCTAATTCCTTTTTTTTTTTCTTTTTTTTTTCAGCACGTTTCGGCGTGGGTCAAAACCTCTCCTCTCCCTCTCCTTCTCCCCTTCATCTTCTTTTCTCCACAATTATTTTTTCCTTTTTTCAGCCACTCTTCCTAATTCCCATTTTTTCCCTTTTTTCAGCACGTTTCGGCGGTGGCGCAAAACCTCTCCTCTCCCTCTCCTTCTCCCTCTTTCTCTTCTTTTCTCCACAATTAATTTTTTTTCCTTTTTTCAGCCTCTCTTCCTAATTCCTTTTTTTTTTTCTTTTTTTTTTCAGCACGTTTCGGCGTGGGTCAAAAACCTTCTCCTCTCCCTCTCCTTCTCCCTCTTCATCTTCTTTTCTCCACAATTATTTTTTTTTCCTTTTTTCAGCCACTCTTCCTAATTCCCATTTTTTCCCTTTTTTTCAGCACGTTTCGGCGTGGGCCAAAACCTCTCCTCTCCCTCTCCTTCTCCCTCTTTCTCTTCTTTTCTCCACAATTCATTTTTTCCCCTTTTTCAGCCTCTCTTCCTAATTCCTTTTTCTTCTTTTTTTCAGCACGTTTCGGCGTGGGACAAAACCTCTCCTCTCCCTCTCCTTCTCCCTCTTTCTCTTCTTTTCTCCACAATTCATTTTTTTCCCTTTTTTCAGCCTCTCTTCTAATTCCTTTTTTTTTTTTTTTTTTTTCAGCACGATTCGGCGTGGGTCAAAACCTCTCCTCTCCCTCTCCCCCACCCTCTCCTTCTCCCTCTTCCTCTTCCTCTCTCCACAATTCATTTTTTTTCCTTTTTTCAGCCTCTCTTCCTAATTCCCATTTTTCCCCTTTTTTTCAGCACGTTTCGGCGTGGGTCAAAACCTCTCCTCCTCCCTCTCCCCCACCCTCTCCTTCTCCCTCATCCTCTTCCTCTCTCCACAATTCATTTTTTTTCCTTTTTTCAGCCTCTCTTCCTAATTCCCATTTTTTCCCTTTTTTCAGCACGTTTCGGCGTGGGTCAAAACCTCTCCTCTCCCTCTCCCCCACCCTCTCCTTCTCCCTCTTCCTCTTCCTCTCTCCACAATTCATTTTTTTTTCCTTTTTCAGCCTCTCTTCCTAATTCCCATTTTTTTCCTTTTTTCAGCACGTTTCGGCGTGGGTCAAAACCTCTCCTCTCCCTCTCCTTCTCCCTCTTTCTTCTTCTTTCTCCACAATTCATTTTTTTCCCCCTTTTTCAGCCTCTCTTCCTAATTCATTTTTTTTCTTTTTTTTTCAGCACGTTTCGGCGTGGGTCAAAACCTCTCCTCTCCCTCTCCTTCTCCCTCTTTCTCTTCTTTTCTCCACAATTCATTTTTTTCCCTTTTTTCAGCCTCTCTTCCTAATTCCCTTTTTTTCCCTTTTTTCAGCACGTTTCGGCGTGGGTCAAAACCTCTCCTCTCCCTCTCCTTCTCCCTCTTTCTCTTCTTTTCTCCACAATTCATTTTTTTCCCTTTTTCAGCCTCTCTTCCTAATTCCCTTTTTCCCCTTTTTTTCAGCACGTTTCGGCGTGGGTCAAAACCTCTATCCTCTCCCTCTCCTTCTCCCTCTTTCTCTTCTTTTCTCCCCACAATTCATTTTTTTCCCTTTTTCAGCCTCTCTTTCCTAATTCCCTTTTTCCCCTTTTTTCAGCACGTTTCGGCGTGGGTCAAAATCTCTCCTCTCCCTCTCCCCCACCCTCTCCTTCTCCTTCTCCCTCTTCCTCTCTCCACCAATTAATTTTTTTCCCTTTTTTTTCAGCACGTTTCGGCGTGGGTCAAAACCTCTCCTCTCCCTCTCCTTCTCCCTCTTTCTCTTCTTTTCTCCACAATTCATTTTTCCCCTTTTCAGCCTCTCTTCCTAATTCCTTTTTTTTCAGCACGTTTTCGGCGTGGGTCAAAACCTCTCCTCTCCCTCTCCTTCTCCCTCTTTCTCTTCTTTTCTCCACAATTCATTTTTTTTTCCTTTTTTCAGCCACTCTTCCTAATTCCATTTTTTCCCTTTTTTTCAGCACGTTTCGGCGTGGGACAAAACCTCTCCTCTCCCTCTCCCCCACCCTCTCCTTCTCCCTCTTCATCTTCTTTTCTCCACAATTCATTTTTTTCCCTTTTTCAGCCCTCTCTTCCTAATTCCCTTTTTTTCCCTTTTTTTCAGCACGATTCGGCGTGGGCCAAAACCTCTCCTCTCCCTCTCCCCCACCCTCTCCTTCTCCCTCTTTCTCTTCTTTTCTCCACAATTAATTTTTTTTCCTTTTTTCAGCCTCTCTTCCTAATTCTTTTTTTCCCTTTTTTCAGCACGTTTCGGCGTGGGCCAAAACCTCTCCTCTCCCTCTCTTCTCCCTCTTTCTCTTCTTTTCTCCACAATTCATTTTTTTTCCTTTATTCAGCCACTCTTCATTAATTCCCTTTTTTTTTTTTTTTTTCAGCACGTTTCGGCGTGGGTCAAAAACCTCTCCTCTCCCTCTCCTTCTCCCTCTTTCTCTTCTTTTCTCCACAATTAATTTTTTTTTTCCCTTTTTCAGCCTCTCTTCCTAATTCCCTTTTTTTCCCTTTTTCAGCACGTTTCGGCGTGGGCCAAAACCTCTCCTCTCCCTCTCCTTCTCCCTCTTCTCTTCTTTTTTCTCCACAATTCATTTTTTTCCCCTTTTTTCAGCCTCTCCTCCTAATTCCCATTTTTTTCCTTTTTTCAGCACGTTTCGGCGTGGGCCAAAACCTCTCCTCTCCCTCTCCTTCTCCCTCTTTTCTCTCTTTCTCCACAATTATTTTTCCTTTTTTCAGCCTCTCTTCCTAATTCCTTTTTTTTCTTTTTTTTCAGCACGTTTCGGCGTGGGTCAAAACCTCTCCTCTCCTCTCCCCCACCCTCTCCTTCCCCCTCTTCTCTCTTTTCTCCACAATTCATTTTTTTCCTTTTTTTCAGCCCTCTTCCTAATTCCCTTTTTCCCTTTTTTCAGCACGTTTCGGCGTGGGACAAAACTCTCCTCTCCCCCACCCTCTCCTTCTCCCTCTTCCTCTTCCTCTCTCCACAATTCTTTTTTTTTCCTTTTTTCACTTCCTAATTTTTTTTCCTTTTTTTCAGCACGTTTCGGCGTGGGTCAAAACCTCTACTCCGCGGGTGACTTCAAACTGAAACCCGTTGACTGGAATCGACCTTTAAATGCCTTTTTCGATGAGGTCGACATGATGGATAAGAGTGAGGTCGACTCCTTCCTGTGAGTATTTTTTTGGTGAGGTTTGGTTGTGGAGGAAGTGGTGTGAGGTGGTTGGGTGTTGGTTCTTTCTCATTATCTCTCTTTTTCTTTTTCTTTTTTGCTCTCTTTCGCTTTTTCCTTCTCGCTCTTTCTCTGACTATGTCTCTTTCTTGCTCTGTCTCTCTCTCTGTTTCGCTTTTTCCTTTTCTATCTCTCTCTCTTTCTCTGTCTTTGTCTCTTTCATGCCTCTCTCACTCTCTCTCGTTTTCTCCTCTCTCTCTCTCTCTCTCTTTCTCTCCTTCCCTCTCTCCCTCCCACCCTTCCTCCTTCCCTCTCTCTCTCTCCTTCCCCCCCCCTCCTTTCCTCCTTCTCTCTCCCTTTCCCCCCCTCCTCCCCTCTCTTCTTTCCCTCCCTCCCTCCCACCCTTCTTCCTTCCTTCTCTCTCTCTCTCCTTCCTCCTTTATTCCCTCTCTCTCTCCTTCACCCCCTCCTTTCCTCCCTCTCCCTCCCATCCTTCCTCCTCCCTCTCTCTCTCCCTCCTACCTTCCTCCTTTCCTCCCTCTCTCTCTCCTTCTCCCCCCCCCCTCCTCTCTCTCTATCCCTCTCCCCTCCTCCTCCTCTCTCTCTATCCTTCCTCCTCCTCCTCTCTCTCTATCCCTCTCCTCCTCCTCCTCTCTCTCTATCCTTCCCCCTCCTCCTCTCTCTCTATCCCTCTCCTCCTCATCCTCTCTCTCTCTATCCCTCTCCTCCCCCCTCCCTCTCTCTCTCTCTCTCTTGCTTGTACATTATTTATCGTCCTATCCAAGCCCACGGCCATTCTTTTCCCGCATTAGCCCGGACGGCCATATTTTACTTTTAATCTAGTTATTTTCGTTACAGATAATGCGTGAAAGATATGTGGAGATGGATGTGAATGCATAATCGTTCATATACACGTGCAGGGTGAATACACGCGTACATACGTATGTATACATGCAGGGTGAATACACGCGTACATACGTATGTATACATGCAGGGTGAATACACGCGTACATACGTATATATACATGCAGGTGAATATACGCGTACATACGTATATATACATGCAGGTGAATACACGCGTACATACGTATATATACATGCAGGGTGAATACACGCGTACATACGTATATATACATGCAGGGTGAATACACGCGTACATACGTATATATACATGCAGGGTGAATACACACGTACATACGTATATATACATGCAGGGTGAATACACGCGTACATACGTATGTATACATGCAGGGGAAGGTGCATTCATGTGTAACTGTACATGTGGATGTAAATATAGAGGTATACACTTCGCGTACATATACAGACAAATGCAGATGAATACAGACAAACACATACACACAGAAACATGCACACACACACAAACACACACACACACATGCACACGTACAGGCACATACACACACACACACACACATACACACACACACACACACACACACACACACACACACACACAAACACACACACACACACACACACACACACACACCACACACACACACAACACACACACACACCACACACCCACACCCACCCCCCAACACCACACACACCCACACCACACAAACGCACACACGCACACACGCACCCATCCACCCACCCACCCACTTACCCACCTACCCACCTACCCACTCCACACACACACACAAACACACACACAGAGCAAGATGCACACCCAGTGCTTGCGAGCTTCTTTGTTTACATTCCGTTGCACCTAACCGTATGCAAATTCAGAAGGTGCTCTTTTGTTTTGGAAGTTATGGCAACGATCTCCCGTGTTTGTAATGTCGGATAAACATTTACTTATATTTTTCCAATTTGACTATTTTTTGGGAAAAGTTTGTGTTTCATTTCGCTTGTCTTGTTGGGTATTGGGTGTGTTTGGAATGTGTGTTTGTGATTTTCGTTTTATTTTTGTTTTATTTATTTATTTATTTTGTTTTCTTTGTTGTCTTTTCCTGGAGTTGATATTGTCTCTTCTCTTTCTTTTTATGTTTCTTTGTGTGTGCATTTGCTCTCTTTCTTACTCCTCACCCTTTTCTCTCCTTTCTTCCTTCTCTCTCTCTCTCTCTCTCTCTCTCTCTCTCTCTCTCTCTCTCTCTCTCTCTCTCTCTCTCTCTCTCTCTCTCTCTCTCTCTCTCTCTCTCTCTCTCTCTCTCTCTCTCTCTCTCTCTCTCTCTCTCTCTCTCTCTCTTCTCTCTCTCTCTCTCTCTCTCTCTCTTCTCTCTCTCTCTCTCTCTGTCTCTCTCTCTCCCTCTCTCCTCTCTCCTCTCTCTCTCTCTCTCTCTCTCTCTCTCTCTCTCTCTCTCTCTCTCTCTCTCTCTCTCTCTCTCTCTCTCTCTCTCTCTCTCTCTCTCTCTCTCTCTCTCTCTCTCTCTCTCTCCCTCACTCCCTCTCTCTCACACACACCCACAACACACAAACAAACACACACACCTAAACAAAACGAACCACAAACACGAACATAACCGCCCCCCTACCAAAAAAAAGACCATTTTTCCCCCAATGCCATTAAAATTCACCAAAATAAATAAATAAACTGCAGACCCGCCATTTTTCTTTTTCTCTCTCCCCTTACAGCGGGAATCGCGGGGTAGGCCACTACACTCAGCTTGTGTGGGGCGCGACCTCTCACGTGGGCTGCGGGTATATCGCATATAAGAATAACAGATATATACAGAGTTATTATGCGTGTAACTACGGCCAGGCAGGTGAGTTTCGAAAAGAGGAAGGTGTGGTGTGTTGATGTATTCAGTGTGATTTAGGTGGGAGTAAAAGATTTGTTTTTTTTTAAAGATCGAGTCATAGATTTTGTGTTTGAGTAGGTTAGTTATTTGATTAAAACGGGATTCTGATGTTTGAGTTATTGGTTGATATCCAATGCTCGTCTCCAGTTGTTTTTCTTTTACTTCTCTCTCTCTCTCTGTTTATCTTCTTTTTCTATTTCATTATCACTTTTTTTTTTTTTTTCTCTTGTCATGCTTATTCCTCCGTCTTTATTATCACCATCACCATCATCATCACTATCAATATCATCATCATTATCAATGTCATCATCTTCGTCTTAATCATCATCTTCGGCTTCTTCATCATCATCTTCGTCTTTATCATCATCATCATCAAATTCATCATCCTTTTCCTCTTTATTCTCCTCCACCTCTTCCTTCTCTCCTCATCCTCTTTTTGTCTCTTCTTCCTTCCCTCCTCTTTATCCTCCTCCTCTCTTTATCCTCTTCCTCCTTCCCTTCCTCTTTATCCCTCCTCTCTTCCTCTTATTCTAGTTCTTCTCCTCCTCCTCCTCTTCCTCCTGACAGCGCGCTTTACATAATCACGAATATCTTCTAAATCAAAGGATTATCTTATCTTATCTTTCTCGTCCGTTTTTTTTCTTTTGTCTTTCGTCGTTTTCAACGTTTCTCTTCCTTTTTATTCTTCTACTTCTTTCTCTTGCTTTTTCTTCTTCTTTCCTTCTTCTTTTCCGCTTCTTTCTTCTCTGCATTCTTCCTTTCTTCTTGCTTTCCTTCATTTTCCTTCTTTATTTTTTCTTCTTCTCTTCCTCTCTCCCCTCCTCTCCTTTTCCTCCTTTCATCCTCCAATCATATTTTCTTCTTCATCACCCATCTCTTCTCATCTATCCTTCTCCTCCTTCTCTTCTTCTTCACTCATCCTTCCTCCTCTCATTTTCTTCTTTATTTTTCTTTTCTATCTCTCCCTCCTTCCTCCTCATCCCTTCTTCTTCTCCTCTTCCTCTTCCTTCATCTCCTCCTCCTAATTTCTTCTTCTTTCACATCATCCCTTCTTCTTCTAATCTCTCTCCCTTTCCTCCTCCTATTTTTCTTCTTCTTCATCATCATTTTCCTTCTTCTCCTTCCTCCTCTCTCCTCCTCCCTCCTCCTCCTATTTCATCTTCTTCTTCTTCATCACCTTCTCTTTCTATCCTCTTCCCTCCTCTCCTATTTTCTTCTTCTTCATCATCACTTTCCTCTTCCTCCTTCCTAATTCTCTCCTCCTCCTCCTCCTATTTTCTCATCACCTTCCTCTTCCTCCTCTTCCTAATCCTCTCTCCCCTCCTCCTCCCCTATTTTTCTTCTTCATCACCTTCCTCTTCCTAATATCTCTCCCTTCCTCCTCCTCTCCTATTTTTTTTCTTCTTCTTTCCTCCTTCTTAATCATCCTCTTCCTATCCTCCCCCTCCTCCTCCTATTTTTCTTCATCATCCCCTTCCTCTTCCTCCTCCTTTATCACCATTTCCTCCATTCACAGGCAACTACGTGAACCGGAAGATCTACAGCGTGGGACCGGCGTGCTCCAAGTGCCCGGATGGTGCTTCGTGTTCCAACAAGTTCGAGGCTCTTGCTCGATGGGTGGAGGAGGTGGAGAGGAGGGAGGTGGAGGTGGAGGAGGAGGTGGAGGTGGAGGAGTGGAGGTGGAGGTGGCTGGAGGTGGAGGAGGTGGAGGTGGAGAGTGGTGGAGGTGGAGGTGGAGGTGGTGGAGGGGAGCGGAGGAGGAGGAGGAGGAAACCTCCTGGCGGCGGAGGAGAGGAGGAGGAGGAGGAGGAGGAGGAAGAGGAAGGGGAGGAGGAGGAGGAGGCAATAAAGCGTGCAATATGAATGGCGAATGCAGGCTCTTGTCCGGAGACGCCGCCTCCCGAGTGGCCGCAAGATCAAAGAAGGCTTTTTGCCCCTAATGACGGCGGCCATTTTGAAGAGGGGCGTGACGTCATCGAAGCCAGATTTATTTACAGAGAGACGAAAAGGCAAAACTCTCACGATTTTCTTTTCATGAGAAATGCACTTGAGGAAAAAATATGAAGTCTATATATTTAGATTTTTATTCTACGTTTTTTTTTTCGTGAGTTTTCTTTACGTGTCACAAATATGCGAAAAAAGCTTTATGTGTGTTGTTCATATTAAGAAAGTAATATGCTAATGTACAGTGCAGCTTCAGTCGCGGAGATGAAAGAGCAATGCAAGCTTATTATTTATAATAGCCATGTACTTGACAGAGAAAAATTAATGTAAACGTTGGAATAAATTATGATAACCATGAATTATGTGATTTCGCCCAAGAGAGTTTTTGCCGGAGTGAAGTGAAATACAAATTTATTCGACGCAGAAAGTTGAATGTAGACAAAATGTGGAGAATTTAAACAAGCAATTAGCAGAGGCTAATCTGATACTTCTTTGCATTTTGTAATCATGGGAAGTAGGAGACGGAGCAAACTTAAACAAAAGTAATGGCAGCCTAAAGAAAGAAAAGAAAAGAAAAAAGAGTTTAGGTTCGCTCTCCCTCCAAAACCTTCTCCCAGGCCGACATGTCACCCTCACACGTATCTAAAAACTCTCCACAAATGCAATAACACTAACTACACTAAAAATAAAACGTATCCATCAACGACAGGCAAAAAAACAAACCCCATTTTCACTCCTGTCACCGCAAAAAGGGAGTAAAACAAGACAAAAAACAGGAGACAAAAAAACAAAAAAGTTTTAGGCCCGCTCTCCCTGTGTTGACGCGCCACTCGGCAGACATAAGAGGTCACACGCAGACAATTAATCATGGCAGTGCAGGATGGAGTGCTGACATTCCCTCTCCAGCGATCCTACCTTAATTGAGACAAATGGCAGAGGCGTCGGACTCTCTTTGTTTACTTAATACTCTGGCTGGAAGAGGGAGGAATTTGACGGTCTTTTTAACGGGGTCGAGTCTCGAGGCGT